CAATTCACATGAGGAAAGCAACAATAAAACTAAAGATTTAACCTCTGTGCGGTTTTATCCCCATCTCTGATGTATGGGAGTACTCACTGCAATCAAAAAGTAGCCCATTTTTTTCCTGTACCGTGCTCTGAAGGACACTGGCATAAGGCCTCATTGCAAGTTCTGGTTGCACAATAGCCCATCGCATGTCTTGTCTGACTGTATGTTTCATGAGATGCTATTAAGCAAAAAAAATCATGTGAAAAGCTTGCCACAGCTTTTTGAAGCAAAACATCTCCCTGTGACTTCCAGCAGAATCTGGCAGAAACGGTTGACTCAAGCGCTAACTGGTTGTGGAAGAGCAGAAAGTCATGCAAACTGTGGCTGAGGCATCGTGATCCAGTCATATCTCTTCACTTGCTGAGGTCTTTTCTGATACTATGGAAGCAACTAGAAATATTAAAGGCAGAACGGGGCTGGGTCAAGCTGAGGGCTGGAGATATCAATACAGTTCCTCTCTACAAAGAGTTCTGTGAGCAGTATGGGTAAGTTACCTTGGATGCAAGACTATTCCAGAGTGACCAAAATAATAATAAATGAGGAAAGCCTCTGCCTTCTCCATCCTTTTTCCTCCTGTTCCCCTCTTTCACTTGAAATTTCTACCTTTCTTTATTTTTGCTTATAATTAACCTAGTACTTTCACTTTTCTCTACAGGCTTGAGAGCTACCTTTTGTTTCGTTGTTTTAGTAGAGTTGGTTTTTCCCCTCTTTCAATGTCTATTCAGACTGTTTGCTGATGATGTTTTCCAAGCGCATTCTTCTCAGTCGTGTGACCTGCCCCTGTATTTCAGACTCCATAAACAATGTTAAACACGCTACTTGAATAAATGGAAATTTTTGGAATCTTGTTAGGTGAACTGTAGCAGAATTCTTCCAAACCTCCTACTTGGCTCAACTTTGAGCAGTCAAGAATAGAAAATTGGAAGATCTCCACCAGTGAGGCCCTTCTGAAAGCAGAAAATGCAACACAACTTCTTAAAAAGCCTTGGCCCTGGAAACCGCAAGCAAGGAAGTGAAAGAGCAACATGACGCAGTAAGGGTGAAGTCTGTGCATGAAGGCACTGGAAAACACCCTTGTCATGCAACGGAGCACGGAGGAAGCAACGCTCCATGGGCCTGCCTCTACAAGGCCAAGGCATTTTAGACTGACAAGGCTGCATCCGTCACAGGTGATGTGTGTGTGCGTAAAGAGCCGATACCAGATTTGTGCCGTTCTGGTCTCCATTTATTTGTATCCCAGTGTTACCTCCCATGCATTCCCACCAGACTGGAGGGGGTGTAGCTCAATCATGGGGGCCCATGGTCTTTGCTTCTGAACAACAGGGAGCAGTGCTGGAGCAGAGCAGGGATGGGTTGCAGGAGGGCTGGGAGTCAGGGGCACAAGTTCTCCATGCGGCGCAAGCAACAGCTCGTGCTCCCACCATAGGGCTGGCCAGCTGCCAGACAGCCCCAGCCTCAGTGTCTCCCAGCTCCTCCACGCCCAGAGCTTCCTTGTGGTGACTCCTGAGGTGAAGGTTAGCAGTCAGTGCCCCCTGGGAGGCGAGGTGAGCTCCCTGCCCCTGGCCTTGCTGGCACTGGCCTTTTGAGTAGAAGGAGATTCTGTAGCGGCACCCGCAACAGCTCTTCTGCAGCAGGCAGTCGGCTGAATGTACTGTACCCAAAAATCCCACTGTGTTTCCCTCCTCCATGCCCTCACCCACCCCCTTCCACAGATCAGAGCTCCCTACTTGCCCCTCTGAGCTCTGTGCTAACCTTTGTGTCATGCCAGCAAGGGTTCAATAGGCAGCGTGATTAAAGCAATAAAATGTAATGAAGTATATGTGCCTTGCTGACGGCTGCTCTGCTTCTCGGAGCAAAGTGCCGTCCGCCTGGGCGCTTGGCACTCAGAAGCACTTAGCAAACCCGTAATCAGACACGAAGGAGGGCAGAGGGAGGAAGTGGAGAGAGTTTCCTGGTCTGTTTGAATGACGGTGATAGACAAGTTCTTACCAGTGACCAGATTTCCCTGATTTTATCTGCCTGACCACTTTTTCCTTCCCCTCGGTTTTTGGTTTTGTGTTTTTATAAACCTGGAGAGATTACAGAGCTACGTAATAAGGCAGGACCAGTGCAGAAGAAACTGTTCTGCCCTGCTTGTAGGACAAGTGGGGTTAACGCAGTGAGCTGAGACTCGGTCATATTCTTCATGGGCTGGGAACAGGGGCAGGGGAAGGAAAAGGAAAGTTGAAGTCCAAGGTCAGTAAATGCAAACACAGCCATTGTGAGAGAGAATGTGTGAAATACCCACGTCTTGGTGATTCTAGCACAGATATCCTGTACCTGGCCATGAAAGCCATGGTCAGACAAACGAGCCCGGAGGAGGAGTTTGGAGAGCCCATCACAAGCACTCAGCATATACTTCCCCCCCTCCCCGAGGAGCATCAGAAATCGAAATGAAAACGTACCAGTTAAGGGGAAGGTTATTAGTGGGTACGCGGCAGGGGAGCACACAGCATCACGCTTGCCTGCAGTTTCCGGTAAGCGTAGGTCAGCGGGGGCCTGCGGAGGCTGCCGGAGGGGGAATTTGTCGGGTGTGGATGACCCGGAGGCTCTGCAATGGGTGTGGAGCCAGGTGTGGGTCCTGGGACAGCCCAAAACAACAGGGGAACCTGTCTCCGTCCAGAGTATTGGTGACACAGCACTAGGCATGCACTCACCCCCAAATTATATGAGCTTTCATACTGTGCCTGAAAGTACTGTATTTTAGAGAAGAAAGGAAGGACACTTGCTTTGGTTTAGTCTGCTGGCTTTTGCTAGCTGTCAAGTTGCTTTATGAGCAGTATAGAGATTTAGTAAGAGTATTAAACTGGATTCTAGCTTCAAAATCTTCTGGAAAGCCTAGAAATCCACATGATTCGTGACATCCAGAAGAACATTAACCAGGAGATGACTCTAGTGATATCTGAAAGAGCCAGGCAAGAGAGCAGTCTCCCCACTGGTAAAGAGGATTAAAATACCCTTCCTGGGAAATGTGGGAGACAGTCTTGAGTGGGAAAAGTAGCCTTGATGCATAAAGGCAGCAAAGAGTTGTCCTGCATGTGAAGAGAACACATTTGCTCTCAGCTCCCCGCTCCCCTGTGCAGCCATTTGGAGGCCAGGGACCCGGTGAATCGTAGGGGAGATACCGCCGATGAAAACCAGCTTACCCTCAGGAAACTCTCTTCTGTTTTGGAGGCCCCATTGTGAGAAATTCCAGAATTACATCTAGCAGAAAGCCATGTACCGAGATACCATATGCTTTTCTGCATGGACCTGTTTATTCTATCTGTTCCACAGATTCGAATTCCCTAAATCGAAGAGTTCATTTTATAAAGTGGATATTTAGCCATAATCATTGCAAAGACCATTGTGCAAACAAGGCTGAACACTAACTATTCTGGAGTTTGCAGGCAACCTGAAACAGGCTGATAGGAAATTACTTCTCTACTCCTCTGCGCTGGAGTGTTAATTTTTTAGGCCTAGCAGTGCAATTTCAATGCCAGACTTTATTTAGAGTATTAGGTGTTTTCTTGGTACCACTACTGCACGGGTGTGAGCAATTTGTCTATTCACAGACACAAACAGTAAAATAAAGAAAAAGTGGAAATAAAAGGGTAGAAAAATATGCCCTACTGTCACTGGTTGTGGTTGCAGGAAGCAATAATTACTGCACAGAAATGTTCAATTTCACACAAAAGCCATGTTCTTTCCTCAATATTTACAGAAAAGTCCATACACAACTGTGGGCCAGGTCTTTATTGACAGAACTGGTCTGTAATGAAATTGCGTTTTGGCTTTGATACCAGAACAAATTTGATATTGCTGCTCAACACAGGCTTTGCAATCTGTTTGCAGTGACATTTACTTTTTGTTGTAAACATTTTAGGAAAGCTGAGAAACCCTAAGCTTATAAAGCACACCCAGTGTCAAATCCCAGGGATTACTGAAGGATCAGTACTTTGTAGCAGTGATACCCACTGATGTGTGGTTTTATTCTGTTTGGGGCTTTTTCTCCCTCTGTTCCTGCAGAGCTCTGGAAACACAGGGTAATGCAAGAAAATTTCTCAGTTGTACGGCCACAGTTAGTTGAAACATTCATTGAAAGGCTGATGGAAAACTACCAAGAATCAAATACAGAGGTACATATTCTGCATTTCTATCTAAGCACCAGCTAAATCATGTTTACAGCTTCGTTTATTAAAGCTCTTGTCAATCAGTGACCTAAAAGAGAAACACATTTCTTAAGCTTATGAGCTTAGATGCAGATGATGTTGGTTTGTGATAGCAGCGTTGGCAGCAAATGTGTGGATTGCCCTACTGCCTTCTGACAGGTTTATTTCAGCTCTCAGGACTGTAATAATGTGAAGATGAGTTAGGGCTGGAGGTTTATATGCAACCGCAATGCAGGATTGCAGGACTTTATTCACGGATTCAGGAGTGGGAACTCTTCTTCCTGAGTCATTGCTAAATCAGAAGTCCAGCATGATATTAGGAAGCAGTTCTAATGGGTTTTTGGGTTTTTTTTCAGTGAAATTTAAAGAAAATATTTATGAAAACCTGACCACTTCTGGTTAAAACTCACTAAATATGGGTTTTCTGAGAGAAGGGATGTTGGGGCCCAACTGCAATCCAGGCAGTTGCCGAGCTGGTGATTTAATTTCTCTGATGAAAATTCTCTTTTAGATTCAGATGGAAAAAAAATTACATTATATAGTTGCAGCTAGAACCAATCAAAAAACTGAAAATCTGTTTTCCCTCAGTTTAGTCAAACTGTAGACTGGGCAAAAATATTTAGATTGAATAATTTTTATTTTCTCTTCATTTTGCGATCACAGAAGCATTTATCTTACAATAAGGTGACCATGTTTCATTTTGACATATGCTGCATATATCAACTCTTACAACTCAGGTGACCTGCAAGGTTTCTTATTTTGTTTTCCCAGGTTACTTTTACCAAAAGCCATTTACAACAGTGTCTCACCGTGCTGGACTGCGACGTCATGACCAGTGCAACAATTTTGAGACCTACTCCATGTTTTATGAAAATATTCTGCAGCCGCAGCTTCGTCTACTGTACCAAAAAGAGCAAGTAAGCTCAGAGTGTTGGTTCTGCTCTTTGAGAACTGGGGAAGGTGGTTTCTCTGGGTGGGAGGCAGTTGCTAAGTGAAAAATAAAGTCAAGCTGTCAGGCTGGGAAGTTGTTGGAGTTGGGCTACACAAGCATAGGCACCGCACATCTTTGTGCTCTGCTTCAGGAGCTGCACGCAGCAGAACGAGGTGGCAACCAAAGCGATACGGCTCTGACGCAGGTTGGTGATAGTGATTGGTCTCAGCGGTTTCATTTGGGACAGAGTGCCACTGTGCAGACACATGGTGACCACCCCTGAGAAGAAAGGTAGGGGGGTTCTGGGGCTGCTGCTTCTGCGCCCAATGCCAGAAGTCACAGAATCACAGAACGGTTTGGGTTGGCAGGGACCTTAAAGACCATCCAGTTCCAACCCGCCTGCCATGGGCAGGGACACCTTCCACTAGACCAGGTTGCTCAAAGCCTCATCCAGCCTGGCCTTGAACACTTCCAGGGATGGGGCACCCACAGCTCCTCTGGGCAACCTGTTCCAGTGCCTCACCACCATCTCTGTGGTTCTCTTCTGTGGTTCATGTTCACAGTGGACGATATACTAGTAACCCTCAAACTTCTGCTGGCAGGTCTCTTTCCTCACAAGGCATTTTCCCCGAGGAATTCAATCCTGAGCATTGACTGAAATAGCAAATAGAAGTGGAGCAGGCATGTAGGCTGTGCTGTGTAGGTACCAGGTACACTCTGTCATGGCTGCATAACCAATGCCTCCTATGAGTACTCTGCAGCTTCAGCTGTGGTTTTGAGGATAGCTGGTATGTGTAGGTAGAATTTTTTAAAGAAGTAAACTCAGCCAATGAATCAGAAATGCCATCTGTGGGATCATGAGAGATCCATGTCATCTATTGGTTGACTTGGAGCCTTGGTTCCATCAACACAAACTGCTAGAGGCATGTCCGCTTATACAGAAACCTACACTGTGGAGAAGACCGCTTGGGTTCCAGGGGTGTTTGCACAGCAGTGTTAGAACACACGTATTTTGGATTTAATTCCTGGGATCTTTTTCTCATCTGCCCTTATCACTGACTACAAGATTTCTACTACAATTTTTCTCTGGACTTCTTACCAGTTTCTTGCCCCCCTTTCTCATGCTTTTTCAATTTTTTCGCCCCTATATCCTTTTCTGTACAGTGTCTTGTCAGCAACCTCCCTTCTTCCCTGATTTCACTGTCCTGTCCACACATTTGGGAAGGCTGGAGTGAGAGAGAAAATGAGAAACACGTGTAAGGTTTCAGCTGGGGGGAAAGACACAGGAGGAGTCAGTAGGACTTCCCTGGAGCCTGTGGGCAACGGCGTCTCTCCCCCACTCCGCGTTGTTAGCCCATGACCGTCACATGCATGTGTCGTACTCGGAGAAAGTGGCCCGGGGTGGCCAGCTGCCTCCTGCCTCTGGCTCTGCTTCAACCTCAGAAGAGACTTCCTGCTCCCAGTGCCACTTCTCACTAGCCTAAAGCAACCAACAGAGGCTACTGCCAGCTTGAAGAGCAAGCTCCCTTGCCCAGTGTCGGTGTACAGGCAAAAAATCAGTCAAAATGAGATGGCAGACGGGAACATACATGAACCACATGGGTTCTTGGGTTTTTTTCTCCAACAAAGTCTTAGGATTTGACCAATGCTTTGCTGATTTTACAAAAACATACGTTTTTGGGAACATGTTGGGAATACTTTGGGAACGTACGTTCCCCAACGTAGGTTTTCAGAAGTCACTCGGTACTGTTGGCTATAAGAAGAAAAAAAGGCACAAAATTTTAGTGAGAATAAGTCATTAGCATTTACTATTTAGATCTGGCATGCGGAGGTGCCAGGCAACCTTGAAACCAGGCTGTGCTGTTGGCTGTGCCTACAGTCTGCAGTTGTGCCCGTTCCTTATCTGAATAACGATTTTTAGCTTTTCTCCACTGTATTCATCTGCTTGCAAATGCTGCTCAGTGGTATGAAAATGTCCAAAGATTTATACCTAGCTGTGACCTACCTATGTGAAATTTAAATTCTGTCATTTAAATATTTTAAAATTCTACCATGTACCACCCTATTTGTACTAACCTGCACGCCCCGTCTGTGGGTATGTTAGTTGTCAAACACCAACAAATGGAACACATAAATGTTTTTATCACACATTAAATGGCCTCTATGAACAGCCTTATCAGCAGACAGCATATTTGCTCTGATAAATACATTACCTTGCAGCCTACTGAACAAAGCCTGGTCACAATTCAGCTGACTTTCCTTCTGGAGGTAGGGGGGATTACGCTACGGGAGGCCAGGCTCACCAACAGAGCAGAGCCATGCACAGGATCTCCTAAAATCAGATTCCCTAATCCTGCTCCCTAATCTTTCCACTTCTCTGTCATCTGCACACATTTCCTTCTGTCAGTCTCATACCCATTAGCAAGGACAACTTTCATTCCTGATGACCAGAAATAGACTTTTTAAGCTTATATATGAAATTTATGCATTTCCACCCTTCAAATATTGTTCTTGAACAACCACAATTCTTTCTTTTAAAACCAACGGAGATGTACAAAATGGATTTTTCCATATCATCAATGGATGGAGGGGGTCTTTTTACAAGGGCCTGTAGTGACAGGACAAGGGGTAATGGGTTTAAATTGAAAGTGGGGAGGTTTAGATTGGATATCAGGAAGAAGTTCTTCCCAGAGAAGGTGGTGAGGCACTGGAACAGGTTGCCCAGAGAAGCTGTGGATGCCCCATCCCTGGAAGTGTTCAAGGCCAGGCTGGATGAGGCTTTGAGCAACCTGGTCTAGTGGAAGGTGTCCCTGCCCATGGCAGGGGGGTTGGAACTAGATGGTCTTTAAGGTCCCTTCCAACCTGAACTGTTCTGTGATGCTGTAATTATTTTCATCTAGCTACTCAGTTGGGAAGATATTCTTGCTCTGATACTTCATTGTGTATCACACAACAATTCAGAGCTGTGGATCATTTACTCCTAGGCTATGGGGTTTGCTCATCCCTAGCTTCGCTCATTCACTTTCTCTGCTGCGATAGATTCTGGGGCTGTGCCACAGGATGATTATGGAAATAACTGCTCTCAGTGCCCAGCTCGCTGACTTAGAGGAAGAAAACCCTGGTCTCAAAGAGAAGATTAGAAAAGAAATACGGGATGAGTATGAATCATTACTGCAGAACGTATTTGTGACTTGTGTCCGTGTAAAGGTGGGTACAGCACAAGAGGGGGTGCTCGATCGGTCTTTTTTGTGCTGCTGTATAATTTGCCAACAAGTGTAGCGCTCAAAGGAATAAATTGCTGCAGTGTGCCAGGTGGATGAACGGCTGAATCATTTATCTCCTGCTGCTAGAAGCATCTTGTAAAAACGTCTGGTAGAAAAGTAACGTACCTTTTCCCAGAGACGAGGCGTATTCTCGATGGAACAGGTACCACATTAGAGAGAGTGATGGAAGCTCTTTTTAGTTACAGTGGAGGGAACTTTTTGGATGTAATACTTTTCTTGGAAACTCCATGTCCACTGTGTAATTGTATTGCTCACTATAACAATGTCTTTGTTTTCAAGTAGTCCACCCATTTCATTGGGGCAACATATATCATTACTTAAAAAATAAGATACCCCAATCTAGCCTGTAAAAACTGGCTTGATTGTGACCATGTGTATTATAGAGCAACTACCTGCATCACATCTCCAGGATTTTGACTGGTGGCCCACAAGCCCATTAATGTCTGTGGCCTGGGCAATAGTGACTTGAAGAATATTTTAATTTCTTTTGCTGTCCTGAGGGTGAGTCCAGTTTTGACCAGAAAGCCTATTTTTTCGCCACAGTGCCGCTAATTCCATTAAATACATACACCCCAGGATTGTCATTAGGTTGCCTACAAATAATACAATTCAAATTCTATTTCTTGTAAGGCCTGGATGTAAGAATAATATTGCTCTGTCTTCCTGATATGTTGATTTCAGGAAAATATTTATGAAGAAAGACCATCTGGTTGCAGTTGAGAGGCTTCTGAAATCTTCCGAATATTGCTTTCCCATATGTGCACACTTCAGCTCTTACGGGTTCTGTTTGTAATTGCAGGGAAAGCTGGATGTCTACCGCCTTAGCACTGAGCAATGCGTGTTTGAAATCATCAGTCAAGTGAGAAGAGAAGGAGTTGACAATATGATTGAGCTGAAGAAAAAGTTTGGCTCCACTAAAAATAATGGTGACTTGAAAGAACGTTTGTCTACTAAAGTAAGGAAATACATATGTGGGTCAGTAAATGAAGACAAGGATAACATCCCGGTTAAGCGTGCTGAAGGTGGCTTAAGTTACTGCATTCTAAGTGGGACATTGGTTGGGTGAGAGCATGGAGGTGGTCCGTTACTAGACTCTGTTAATGGGTATCCATTTGTCAGGCTGCCATGAATCAATCATCTTTGTGTGTTCATGCTCCAAGTTCAGAAATTTCTGGCCAAACCCAGCCCTTAGACCCTGAATAACTACACGTATTTGAATGGAATTTGGGTTTGGGTGGGGGACAGAGAATGTGATATTTCAGTGACCCTGATAAATGTGTTGAGGGGAGTTTTATCTTCTTATCATGCAAGCTGGTCACATAAAAGGATGAGGATAGAATAATTTTTTTCTACTTTGGGATACCTAGATTCAAAAATATATTCAGCTTTATGTTTTGAAAGAGTGCCCCCAAAACTGATGTTCTGGGAGTTATAAACTAAGACCTGAGAAGTCACTTCCAGGCTACAACTCCCATGTCAGTCCCTTTTATAGTCAAACATATTCCTCCTCAGCAAAGTTCAATTTGTACTGAAATTACGGTAGTCAGCCCGTGAATACAAACGAGATCAAATGGATAACGTCTCGGTACTTCTGTCTAAAGCGAGGATCTCAGGTATCGTCTAAAGCAGATCTCTCCAGCAGAGAAGTCAGTGCAGCGGGATGTAACTGTAATGCCAAGAGAGTGAGAAGGGCTTTCAACGCCCCCGGTGAACTGCGGGGAGGGACACCCAGAAGTAAATGAGGAGCCAGTGGAAACGGAAGAGGTCTGTGTGTGAGAAGGCTGCAGGGAGATATTCCACATCCCCACTTGGAACGGACAGTGCACAAGGAGAGTGGGGAGCTCGTGTGCAGCCAAAGGGCTGTGGTTTGCTCAGAGCCATGGGAACGCGAGGGACTGGTGCGCACCGTGGTCGTGGTGATTAAAAGGGATCAGCAGGGAAGAAGAGGAATGATAATTGCACTGTGTGTAAGGAGTTAACTCCCCTGCACAGAGCTCGTGTACGAATGTGGAGATGGACTACTGAAAGCCTCTGAGTCAAAGTCGGAGGAGGGAGGGGCATTAGGGGTGATTAATGACTGGGGTGGGGAATCTGTTACAAAATGCCTGGTCAAAAGAATAAATCGGGTGGGCCTGTCCATAGAGGGCTACAAAAAGTGCGTTTGATTTGAGACCTTGGTGTTCATGGAGGTTTTATCTATTTGGAACTCTAGTGGAAGGGGAACACAGCATTGTGAAAGCCGAGGCAGTTCCTAGACAACATGAGTGATAATACCCAAAAAGCAAATGCTAGAGGAGCCAACCACAGTAAATCCCTACTTCTGGTGGTCATAAACAGGGAAAAACTGGTGGTGAACGTCATCTGAGGCTGCAGTGACTGTGAAATGTCAGAGGAGAAAGGTTGCAAAATTATGCTGCAGAGCTAGGTCTCGGGGCTTCAGGAGAGCAGACTCTGACTTATTTAGGGAATTCCTAGGCAGAACACCTGAGAAACTGCCAAGAGGGGAAAAATGCTGGGAAAGCTGGTTGATTTTTAAAGAAAACTTATAGAGATTTCAAAACCAACTGCCCTGTTACGCAAGAAGACCAGGGAGTTTAGCAGAAATTTGGCCTTGCTTGCCTTAGCAAGGAGCTTCTTGAAGGACTAAAATACAAAAAAGAGAAAGATCACAAGTAGTGGAAACACAGGCAGGCAACAAAGGTAGAGGGTCAGAGTTCAGACCCATAGTGATGAAATGAGGAAGGCCAAAGCCCATCTGCAGGTGAAACTAATATGGGACACAACGGGTAAGAAGGTGAGTTGGCACTGAATGGCAGCGCTTCTGTGCAGAGACACCGCTGCCAGCAGGGCCAGGACCTCCAGTGGTCCTCTGTAGCAGCTTTCAGGAGGAACTCTGCTATTTTGAACAAAGAAGAAGAAAACCCGATGGCTATGCTTTTCATGGATCCACTAATTTTGTTCTTATTAAGGACACTGTAATTAGGTTGAACTGGGTTACTGAAAATGGTATGAACCAGAATGCCCATTTGGCATAACAGTGTATTGCCATCAACAGTGCTTCATTTTGGAGGGGTTTACCTGCTTGCTGTTTTAGTTTGAATTTGTTCCATTTCTTTCCCAGTTTCTGGGCAATGTTCACATTTTCTGTTTCCCTGGAGACTCAGTAATAGAAATTTATTGCCAAAGGCTGCACTGTTTCAAACTGCAAAATTTGAGCATTTGAAAATTACAATGAAATACATACAGTTGCATGTTTTTACAATTCTATTTACTTCCAAACCAGATGTTTCTTCCCAGGGAAAGTAATCTTTGTGGGTCTACTCTTACCGACATCTTCTTCAAGCTCTTGCGGGATGAAAATACCAGGCTAAGCAAGCTGGTGTGTAAGCCGAAGGCTCTGAACTGTTGGAAGCAAACCATTCAGAAGGCACAGCTCTCTGCAAAGCTTAGAGAGGCTGAGAAGGTGATATTTCCCTACCATTTCATCTGTTGTTCGTTTCTGATCTTCTGCAAAACTAATGGTCAGATAGGGCGGGCTGTAACGGTGGTCTTCAAATGTGAACAGCATGAAACAAATCCCTCACGCTTGCTTGAAGCAAGAGTTCAGGAAGTATGAGTGGCCTATAGTATTCCTAATCCTGTTGTTGACTCAGAAGAGTAATTATGACATTGTATCTAAATCGACTGTTTCACAACTGACCAAAACATGGGAAAAAGAAGACAGGCAGACATGAAAGAAAAATGAACTATACTCTTATTTTGGGAGGTGGCTGAGGTTTGGCTGTTGTTTTTTTTCAAATTGGTCTCTGCTGAAACAAAGCAGAACACAGCATGAGGTTTAGAAATTTAATTACAGAAATACAAGATGAAGCACAAAAATGACTAAATTAAACTAAAGTGAAGATGGATGGAAAGAAAAGTGCCTCACTGCTTTAAATGAAGCTGATTAGAATGGAACAAACAGGTTATTGATTGTTACATAGGTTAATTAGCTGCACATGTCAAGCAAAGGAAAGGCAGAATGGATCATATTTGTTAACTTAAAAAGAGTGAAAACAAAATGGGTTTTGTGCGCTTGCTAATTTTAAATCCAAATAAAACTGGATGTGCATACGCTTAGTTCAATTATATCAGGGAGGTGTTAAATCATTAGAATATTTTATTAAACAGAACAGTCAAAGATGGATTGAATTATTGCAAATTTGTGGGTTTAAGTAAGAGCTATCATCACAGGATTAAAAATTCAAGTCTGAAACTGAGAAAAATAAATGGGAAAATTTGGCATTTTAATTAGAAACTAGCTCACCTTGCCCAGACAGAGCTTTCTTGTGTCTGACCTTGGAATGATCCTGAAGCTCTAAGAACTTTTATTTAACTGTCCTCCGCTCCAAGTGCAGAGGATGCTGGACCTTGCTTTTTCCAGTTTAAATGGCTGGGAAAGGAGAGAGGGCTGCTAAATCTGTGCCTGACATAGTAACGTGTATATACATACACATTTATGTTTGTGTTTAAGACAAACAAAAAAAAAACCCACCCCTGCCCAGGAGAAAAGCAATCTTCATCAGGCACGTTTTTTACTTCAGAGAGAATGAGGGAATAAACAGATTAGTGTATGGACAGGTCTTCCTACTGCGTAAGAAAGATCAAGTTTTGCATTGCTCTCAGCTTGTCTGCACACAAGAGCTTGAACTGCTGACATGTGAATATAATTAAGGACTTGCAGTTGTACCCATACGAAAGATTACTTTACGAAAGATTATCTTATGTTTCCCCTTTAGAGGACCCCTCTTGGCCATCCTGTTCCCCACTTTGCCTTAAAAAAGCTCCAGCCTTCATTAGAAAATAGGGACACTTCAATCCCACTTTACTAAAAATGTCTGAGAGGTTTACCTTTCAAGAAACCCGCTGTTATATGACAGACAGAAAATCACTGCTCTCATTGTTTCTGTTATGTACTTTCTGTTTACAGGAAGCTCTTCAAAACAAGAAGGAGTGCCTGAATGCCAAGATGATGGCAGAACAAGAGGTGACTTTGTTTCAGGGTCAGCTCAAGCCCGCAAGGAAAGCTCTTGTGAAATTTCAAGCAGACAATGACAAGCTAAAGAAACAGCTACATCAACAGGTATCTGAAGTCAGCAGGTCCTAATTCATCAGCAAGATGAACTCTCCTCTCCATCTCACTTGCTTTAATGAGGACTTGCCTACTGTTACTCTAGGAGAGAAATGGATTCAAAACTACCTGCGTAATAGGGTTACTGAAGCTGGAGGTGTATTTTATGGCATTCAAATGATGTGTTGTCCAAGGGTTTTCACCACTGCAGGTAGAAAGAACTAGGGGAAAAACTGTAGCATCGTGGATAAAGTTTGAGTTACATACCAAAATGACAGCTACAGGCACTACTTTTACATACACGAACAACAGGGCTGGATGTATGTTTTAGCAGAGAAAAAAGACACTATTAATATTTTATTCCCAAATTAAAAAAAAAAAAAAGAAATTTAAATTACAGATCTTGAGGTCATTAGTCTTCCACCCAATCATTAAATTTAAAGGAAACATTCAGGGATGTTGTCATTAAATCCAGACCAAATTAATTTAATGCTTTTCCCCCCCCCCCCCCCCCCACTGAACACCTTCATGGATGTATCACTGACACAGCAATCTCCCTTCCACTTCTACACGTGGCTCCAAATGCTGGAATGGCCCATTCCTCCAGGTCAGGCTGAAAAGCACATCCTTCACTTGCAATATACTTAATGCCCAGCAACACGATTTTACGGAAAATAAGGGTTGTTGAACCAACCTCATTTCATTCTGCTGGTAAGATTACACGTTAGCTAGATAAACACAGTACTACAGATGTAATACGTCTGGAAGCAACTTGTAACCCTTGGGTTAGCAGCACGTAACTTTTGTATTTTGAATGTCATCATTACACTACATCACTGAAAGGCGATATGGATTGAGAGCAAGGTTTTTTGACACAGAAAAATGTGTTATGTTCATTAAATGAAGGCGGTTTCTAATGGATTTCTACAGGCGTTGGTAGCAGAATCATAGAATCACAGAATGGTTTGGGTTGGAAGGGACCTTAAAGATCATCTAGTTCCAACCTCCCTGCCATGGGAACTATCAGTATTCAACATTTTTGTCAGTGGCTCGGAAACAAGTACAAAATTATAGAATTTACCGATGCCCTATTTGGGGTTAGTGGATTTGATAGGGCACATTTAGTGAATGTGGGATGTGGGCAGAGCAGGAGTGCAGAACCATACAGGTAGCTCAGCAACGTGGTTCTCCCTCCGAGACTTACGGCAGCGCCCGAGTAGGTGACCAACGAGAACACAGGGCTTGGACGGAACAGGGTGACTGCGTCCCTGGGCAGGACAGGGATCGGAACAGACGGATGAGCAGCCACGTAGCGTGCTGCCGGAAAGGAGGGATGCTGCAGTCGTTCCGTTTATAAAGAGGCACTAGTGCAGGGAGATGCCTGAAAAACGGGTGTGTAGCAGCCGAACACGCTGCAATACTGCCACTGGTTCTGGGGCATGCTGCTTACGAAGGATGAAACGAGAGAGTGCAGAGTTAGGAAACCCATTTGAGGGCTGCAGGAAATGCTTTCTAGCAGGGGGCTCTGAGGAGGCTCAATCTGCTTAGCCTGTCTGAAAGACGAGTGACCTGATTTCAGCTGGGAAAGGGAAGGGTCTAACGAGAGGCGGTGCCTACGGGTTGAGGCCAGGCAAACTGAAACGGGAAATGAGAAACAACGTTTTCAAGATGTGATTAACCATGGAAATGACAATATGTCTAACTGAGCCCCTTCGAGTCAAGACCGGATGCCTTTCCGGGAAACACGGTTTAGCCAAATCAACCTCCTCATGCCAGTACAAGGTTACTTGAGGTAAACGTGATATTAAAAAGTCACATCTGATGCTCAGCTGCTCCCTCCTGAGTGTATCAGTCTATGAAACCCCAACCTTAGTAAGGCCTAGAGAGCTCCCTAATGGAAAACATTTGGGCTGTGACTGCTTTTAGCTCTCTGTGTTCAGATTTTTCACCAGCATGGAGTTGCCTTTGGCTGATAAATGGGTTTTAACTGTCAAAACTGTAAAAAAGACCGACTGCATCTACCATCTTTCTATCAGCTATTTTTGTTGTTGCTGGATTTTTTTTTTTTGTTGCTTTCTGACATCAGCTTCTGGTTCTTTCTTCTTCCTAATATCTTTCCTTGGTACAGATTGTGATGATGCTGTATACACACAGCAGACGCCATTCCACAACCCTGGGCTGTACAGGAGGGTTTGACCTGGTGTGTGTGGCTTGCAGTACCACTGCATCCAGCTGTGGCAGAGATTCTAAAATGCAGCCACACTTACCAGCTTCCTCTACAAACTGTGCACGAACAGCAACATTGGAAAAAGCTGTGCTCGTTTTCCCCCTCTCTTTCCTTGTTCATACGTTGTTTTAGAAACAAGTTCAACATGCAGACCAGAGGCTGGTTGCAGAAAACAAATTACAGCAGACTGAGGAAATTGGAAGCAACTGCCTTCTCGTTTATTTGCGACTGAATGAGTTTTACACATGAATGTTGTTTGGGGGCTTAACAAGCCATGATGTAAATACAGCATTCTGTTCCCACTCCTCCTTCCCCTTCCCTTGCACTCTCCATTCCCACAACACAGATTTTATTTTGGGTTTAGCTCTGACTGTGGTCCTTTCTTAAGATCACAGGGTAATTTAGATTTGTTTACCAACATTTCATTATCTTCAGTACCAAGCCACATGGGATCGGGTCTCTCCTCATTCAGCTCAGCTGGGCATGACATCCGAGGACTGGTCATCAGGGTTTAAAAGGAAATCTAGAAAGGTGTTGTGCTGGCTTTAGTAGGGATAGAATTAACTTTCCTCCTAGTAGCTAGTATGAAGCTATGTTTTGGTTGTGTTAGGAAGAATATTGATAAGATAGGAATGGGATGTATGGGAACAAACACAGGTGTGTGGGAACTGGGGGGAGTAATCCAAGCCTGAGGTTCTTGTGATTGCTTGTTGTAGAAACAAATGCTGTTGGAAGTAGTACAGAGGAAGACAGAAGAAGCCAAGAAGGGACAAATACTCAGTGTGATGGAAGCAGAAAATGTGGAGAAGATGCTTGAAGAGATGGAAGTAAAAGCGAAGACAGTGAAATGCCTAACCAAGGAAGCTGAAAAATCTTCTAAGATATGCCATCTTCAACAGAAAGGGGCCAAAAAAGAAATGCAGCAGGTAAACTCGTAATGCAGATCTGAAGAATAGAAGCAGTACCACTTCTGGAGAGATTCCTCAAGTTTTAACACAGTCTGACCCTGTCTGAGTGTATCCCTTTAAATGTCTAAACTTCACAGTGCTTCATTGTGGACCTCCAAGTTCTCCGGACAAGGGTCTTGGCGTGTGGGCCTTGGCCCTGTGCTGGGGCCTAGGGCCACGTTCCAGCTATTGGTGGCATCTTGTGTGTCTGATGCTTCCAGCAGGATGAACTGCAGTGTCAGGTTTATGACCTGGAGGGTGCAGTTTCCTGGAGGAATGCGACTGCAGGTAAAGACAGGTTGTGTGTTGTAACCTGCTTTCTTGGGGAAATAAGTCTTAGGCTCTATGTGTCCTTGTCTCTGAATCTCTCTTTAAGCTTGGAAGCAACAGGCAACTTAAGAAAAATGTGAAAGAGGAGAAGACTGCTGTAATGAAAGCATTTAGGTAGAGGAGAAAGACCTAAAACGACCTTGAGGAGCAGTCAGGCACCTCAAAAGCCATGTGCCTCCTTACACCACAGCTGCTCAAGCAGCACAAGAGACACTGACTCCCAAATTAGTAACTCTAAACCGTAACTTGTCTTTTGCTTTGTAGGGATATCAAGGGAAATACGAGGGAAGCTGCATTTAGGGGAGGAGGCAATTAGGAAAGGAAGGACTGCAAGTGGTGGGAAATCAGGCTTCATTAGTGGCTCTGGTCTTGGGAACCGCTTACTTACAAATCACATGGGGCAGCCAAACCAGACCGTACCCTTGTGATTCGCTTAGGTACGCACCTGTGAGTGCAGGTTTCTTTAGAGGATCTCAAAACAGTAGTGAGAACTTTCTAGCCTTTAATTGATTTAAACCAGAACTTAAAGCTTTAACAAAAATCCTTCTCTGCTGTTTGCTAGGTAACTCTTCAACATAATGCTTATGTAATTTATGTACCTTAAAAAGCTTGATTGGGGATTTTTACTCCTACCTGCCTGAAGTTGCTGTTTTTCTCCGTGGTATCAAAATCTTACTGTCAGCCTGAGAAACACATGCAGAAAAACTGATGGGTGATACCTAAATTCCTAATAAATTACATAAATAGGGAGAAAAAAAACCCCAAAACACCCTCCAGTGATCTTTCAAGGTGTATTTCTATGCCTTGAATATAAAGTACTACAAATTTAATTACAGTTTCCTTCTGCAGGAAAATGTTAGTTATTCCTGCCACAGGAAACTGAGAGATGCTCATTAGCACACTGCTGAGGACAAGACATAGAATCACAGAACGGTTTGGGTTGGAAGGGACCTTAAAGACCATCTAGTTCCAACCCCCCTGCCATGGGCAGGGACACCTTCCACTAGACCAGGTTGCTCAAAGCCTCATCCAGCCTGGCCTTGAACCCTTCCAGGGATGGGGCATCCACAGCTTCCCTGGGCAACCTGTTCCAGTGCCTCACCACCCTCTCCATGAAGAACTTCTTCCTGATATCCAATCTAAACCTCCCCACTTTCAATTTAAACCCGTTACCCCTTGTCCTGTCACTACAGGCCCTTGTATAAAGTCCCCCCCAGGTCCTTGTAGCCCCTTCAGGTACTGAAGCTCTAAGGTCTCTTATCTGCAGTCTGTATCATCTGCAGTGATGATACACTCCTTGCTATGAACAAAAAGGGTGCGGGGTGAGGGGCAGGTGCAGGTAGTGACAAACAGGTCTTGCAAATAGTTGTAACTATCTGCAATGGTTTTTGTTCTACTTTATGTCAAGATCATGCGTGAACCACTTTTTCCAGGCTAAGCAATCTATTACTCTATCAGTACTATGCCAAATGTTCACACTCAGGTTGTGGGTTTTTTTTCCTTCCCCCCACCTAATGTTTCACTTCGAGGTCAGAAACAACAGCTCCTGCATTTACTTCACGCCACGGTGTTGACAACACTCCCGGTTCTGCAGCTTGGGTCCAGAGCAGCAAGCCTTCAGCATCCACCCAGCGTGGGGAGTACCAGCACCATCCTTTGAATTCTGACTCAAGAAGCAGCAATGGAACGGGAAGAAATACTCAGAGACCAAAGACAGTAAGTAATGGCAGCAATAGTAATAACGTGATACGGTTGCAAAAATAAGCACTTTCTTTGCTGCTTTGCAAGCTGTGATTTGTAGATACACCCAGGCAGGCTTCAGCTGGGCAGTAAGTTTAAATCCTTTTGAGGATTTATCTTTAAGAGTAAGGTGACCAGTATGTATGGCTAGCAAACAGGAAAAGAAGTTCAAAAAATTGACTGAGGAAAGGGGACAGGAGGGAGGTATTTAGTTAGCAATGGTCCAGGAAAGACTGGGGTTTTGGGTTTTTTTTTTTTTTACTACCATGCTGTGGTTGGTGACTCTTCTTCTATGTTACTTCTGCTTTCAGGTGGCTAGCAGATGGAAGGAGACAATGGCAGGAAGGCAATCACCACACTGAAATGGAAAGTCTCTTCCTACTGTCTTCATGCAGCTACAGAAACAAAAGCTGGTCCAGTAGTAAACCTAAATGTGTATTTAATCAGGCTAGGGCATTTTAGAAAATGCCACCAAAATGGCAACCTGGAAGAAAAAGAGGAACAACCTATGTGCAAGAGAGGCAGTAATACTCCAATACTAATACTACTTCATGGAGCAGATCCTCCTGGA